ATGACTTCCTCCTGGCTTTGACTTTTAGATACCAACAGATCTTAAATGCCAGTAGTTGGGGAAAAAATGATTTTTTTTTTTACTTTGCAAAAGTGGGTTTGTAACTGCTGGCCAAAATGAGTTTATAGCTGCATTTTCAATATGAAGCCACCCACTCAACTCAGAGCCCAGAGGGTTTCAGAAATAGGAAGGCGTAGGGACTATGGTGGGTATTTTTCTCTTCTACTTTTAAATCTTAGAAACTTTATAAAATTTTCCTAAACAATATTTGTATAAGAAATCATCATAGAGGTTATTAGTCTTACCCTTTAGGGACAATTTATTTTCTGTGTCACAGCTGAACTTCTAACTTGGATCACAATATCTGCCAAGATACTTAAAAGATCATTTTATCAGGTCAACTGCAAATGGTGCTGTTATTACAGAAAAGTTATATAAAAGTGGAACAGAGAAGTAAGTCCATGAGCAATGCATTGTAAAATGCATTGCAAAATGGAAAGAAGTGTTGGAATTAACTACTTAGAAGTTCGATCTTGCTCAAATCTTTTGCTTAAATGGAGGACTTCCAAATGCTCTGTGGCTCCACCTCAAAGTTGAATAGGTTCTACTGTCTTTGACTCTCAGCAAATTCTTTATGAACACTACCCACCTAAGTGTATAAATAAGTCACTTCATATAAGATGCCTGGTATTTTTACTTTTTACTCTGTAAAAGCTGTATTTGGAGCATTTTAATAATGGTCAAAGTGTCAAAAATCAACCTACATGGCAGTTGCTAGAAACCCAGGAGATGCTAAAAAAATCAACAGGAGATGGTATAATTTCATTATTCCCTCTTTGTGATTAGCATTTACAAATATAACTGTCAGCTAGTTATCATGGTGAGCTTATGAGTCATGCCTCCTCCAAGTAATAAAAACTTCTTAATACAGTCTTCGGGCTATAAATCCACTGTAACACTGCCAGTGTTTTGATGTTAGCAGTGTCTTTATTTTCCTTAACTCCATGCTATGACAAGTTTTACCTCTTACATAGCTTATTGTAATTTGTTGCTGGAAGAACAATGGCCAGTTAAGTAACATGCTGAAGGATGCTGAGTATACTGAAGAGTAGTATCCCTGTGATATAGTATGTGTGCCTGTGTAAGTGTGAATGTATAAAAGAATGTGTATGCAATGTACATGCAAATAATGATAGTCTGAGGGCAACATCGTAACTTGCTTGAAGTCAATAATTCTGCATTGTTCAATTGTTGCATCTCTAGTATTTAACACTGTCCCTAGCACATAGAAAATGTTTCAGAAATGTTTGTTGCATGAATGAATGAAGGGTACTAATGCTCCTATTGATAAAACAAGGTTTCAGCTTAATAATGTGGCCAGGGTTCCATCTCCAACAATCTGTTGTGTATCTAGCATTATGCTAGGAGTAATGAAAAAGGCAAGAACTTGGATTTGAAGAGCTTCCCGTTTAATTGGGGAGACAAGATAATAGACAAGTGAAAACTTCTAATGCTACAGAGTGAATAACGGCATTTCAAATATAATTTCACATCAACTACAACAAGTACATGAGCTCAGAGAACAGAGAGGCTTCTAAGGACTGGAGTCACTAGAGAAAGCTAAATAAACAAGGCAGGAATTGAGTTAAACCTTTGAGGATAAAATATTGGGGGGAAGGAAAGGAAATAGCTGTGGGGTAGGGGTAAGAATGTACAAAAAAAGCCAAGTCATGAAGACAAGGATAGATTGAGACTTAAATTTAGGAAGTAGACATCAACTTGGAAATAAAAACGATGATGACAGAAGCAGATATATTAAGGAAGTAAACAAGATTGCATCTTATATGGTAATTACTTCATGCCTAAACTCTTTGGTGAAAACCAAGTGTAAGGTTGCAACTCAGACACATTCTGTAGGTTGCAAACTCAGTGGAAAATAAATGGGATGTTAGAAGACCCCTGTGGCATTCCCAGAGGCTAGTGGGTAGCAGCTAGACTTGCCTAACTAGGAGAAACTGAAGGTGTGTTGCATCAGAGGGCATGAAAGAGACAGATGGGACCTGGCTAGGTCTTCAGACACAGGAGCCTATGTGGAAGGGACTTTTGATTCCCACAGAGATCAGACTTTCCTAAAGTCTTAGATGACTTGATGTACTTTTGTAGATATTCTTTGGACCAATTTCCATTTATTTTCTATTTTTAGGGAAACAGAAGGGTCAAAACAGTGTGTCCAACTATTCTGTAAACAAAAATTAGATATGTAAAGTTTGGAATTCTCACATTCCAATGTTGAAGAAATTCAACATGAATAAAATCAAGGCAAGGTAGTAAAAAATCAAAGCAGCAGCAATAATTGATAGACATTTTAAAGTTAATGAGGACCCTTCTTTTCTACCCATGTAAGGGAATTATAAGAAATCTATTTTAAAGTTAATCACAGTCATGTGGCTAAATCATCCATATATTGGTTATGTGTGAGAGCACACAGAACAGAATCAGCTAAAGAATCTTTTAAAGTTATCAATAATTTTTTTGAAAGTTTAACCCTTTAAAAACCACATTCATTGATGCACTATTGATTAAATGAAAAATTAACTCTTGAGAACATTTTCTAATAAAGTATAACTATGATGTTTCAACCAACATTAATTATATCCTTTTGATGTCTCTCCTGTCTTGCTCTAAAAAAGCTAATAAGACCTGCACTACATCATGGTTAATAGGAGTGTGGTGCTTGTTGCTTAGGCAACAGGATGAATAAATGCAGGTCAGAATGTGTTTCAAGAAAAACAAAAGCTAGAATATGATACCGAGTAGAGACTAAGCAGAGCTAACCAATTTTTCATTACATTAATGAAATCTTTTTCTTAAAGTGGGCTGATCAGATTAGTGTACTTTAAGTTCATGATTAAATAAATTAGATTATGGAAATCAATAAGTAATTTTTATTCAGGTAGAAATTGATTTTTATGATAATAGTAGCAAATAGATGATATATTGCAATGTATGTATCAATAAGTGGCGACACCATTTTATGATTTGCTTCTTTTCATAATTAACTCCTTAATATGGTAGTTCAAAGTTTAAAAATTATTTTAGTCTCATGAAGAAAGTATTTGATTGACTCATCTGAATTAACTTCTTATTTTCTGGAAAATTATATGCGGTATTGGAATTTAAAAAATAAAGACAATTATCTGTTGAGAAGATCAAACCTTGGTTTTAGCACATATGTCCAAGATTTTTGAAGTACATTTTGGCATACTTATACATAATTCATTCATAAATATTTTCTACAATCTCCAAATGCTTATTTGAAACTTGTTTGATTAACCTTTCAGTTCTAGCCTTTTGAAAAGGGATTGTGTTTGCTCATATGCATTTAACATTCAGAGGAAAATAATGCTGAATTAAAATCTTTCAGAGTGACCCAGTAATCCAGAGAGGCCAAACACGCACCTAACTTCTCATAAATTTGAATGAGGGTTTGAGAAGTGGGAATAAGAAAGTCTTATTTCAAGTAGGGATGAGGGGGTGGGGGAGAAGAATAAATAACTAGGAAAAGACTTTCATTCTGTTTGGTAATTTTTCTAATTCTTACTGGTGTCCTAAATCTGCTCAGTATTTGAGGATAGCAACTGTGCTAGCAATGGAAGAACTTTTACTCTTTTCCTATTTCAATAACCACAATTTTTGTCCTCCTAATCAGTGACAATATATTTAAACACAAGGAAATAATGGGATCTGCCCATCTGATTATTCAAAAACAGACTCATAATCAGCTCTATGTTCTATAATTACTTAGAACTTGCATGTCATGCTACATTGATGTAAGATGTATTCTTTTTTATATTTCGGAACATAGATATTTTTGGAGAAGAAGCAGAAGTTGAACGATTTGAATAATTTTAAAATCTTAAATATTTAAGCTTGGAGAAAAAGAATCTCAAATGGAAATCAAAAAATATGACTAGCTGTCAGGATTTTGTTATCAATTCTATATTAATAAGCATTTTATATAGAAGTGGCCATTAATTTTTTCTATAAGCCATCTGTGTGCTACATGTAGCTCTGTTACGTTATGTACCTCTCTCAAAATTTAGGCATCAATGATGTGTGTGATGGGACCTTAAAGGCAAGGAAAGGTATTAAGGACAGTGACGTAGTTTAACAAGGAAAACTGATGAGCAGAGGGGGCAGGTATGTAAATGATTAGAAAGCTGTACTATGGGTCTGCACAACTCCCCATTCTTATTCCCCAGCTATATGCCCCACAGTGAGAAGTTTGCACACACCAGGTTTACAATGCATGCAGAACAGTATTAGGAAGTACACCAAGGTACTTAGTCGGTCAGTCTTTCTTCAAAATTAACAGTTGGTTGATGGAAGTGTTTGTTTTCCTCTTACAGGAATAAATAATACCTCATTGCTCTCCAATCAGCTAATATAAATAAGTGAACGCTCTCCATAATTGATGATCTCAAGCAGTTTACTAATGCACTAAAGGTCGTCCACACAATTTAAACTGCTTATCAAACAATTATCAGGAAAAAAAAACAATCTTCACACCATACACATAACAGATTGTCTAATTAATCACTAAACGCTGATGTTCCAGTGAAATAATATGTTTTAGGAATCTAGAATTAACTGAGGAATGCTATAATCTAACTGGGTGCTCTAAGCTTATAAATTTATAAAAACCACACGCAGAATGACAGGGAGAATATAAATGTTAATCTTTGATTGCCTATAAATAGTTCTATCACCAGTTCATTCATATAATACATATGTATATGGATGCATAGAGATCTCATTTTTCAGCAAGTGTCTCAACGCACACAGTAAGTTCAGTCCTAAGGGCATCCGATTTTCTGATGCCGTTACATACATAAAATTGACCAGCTTTGGTGCCAATCAGGCTGCCTCTGAGCCGTGTAAGACACATAAGAAGCAAAGACAGACAAAAGGCAGCTCCGTGGACACAGAGAGTATCTTACCATAAACTGCACATTGTCAAATCCATTAGCCATCAGGTGGTTCTCGTACTGAGGTAGCCCAATGCTTTCCAACCATTGTCCCACTGTTTGAACAGGGCATCTGGGTCCTGTAAGAGGATGAAGAGGGAAGCGTTTAAGCAGGGAGTAGCCGTCCACGGGGTAATAGCGGTAGTCCTGGGCTGAGAGGTGGCATTGCCACATCATGCTCCTGGGAAAGTTGCTATCAAAGGAGCCCGCCAGCTTGACAGATTAATGTTCTCAGCGAGAGAGCAAAGTCAGAAGTAAAACATAGTTTGCCAGGCAGGCTGTGGAGTATGACTTGATCCTAGCTCCACATTTCTTACATATTAATCTTTACTACCGACCAGTACGTCATACAGCCCCCAAAACCAGGCAGCAGAAGAAGGCATATCAAGCTGTCAGCTTAGGCTGGTCTGCGTTCTGTGTGATTGTTGGAGTACTCCACAATGCACGGCCGGCAGCCAGAATTCTCTTTATCAAGTACTCCTACACTCATCAGTATGCAGCTCCATGCTCCTGGCTCCCCCTCGCTTGCTCTCCTTCATTACCCAGCCCAGGCTACACCTCGCATTTTCAATAATAGCCATCAGATAAGGCAGATTTTTTTTGTCTGCAAGCTGTAAGCCTGCTGCTGCTGCTTCCTCCTACACACCCATCCAAGCGTCAATCTTGAATGATGAGAGCAGTCAAAACAAATGCAGAAAATAGCAAGATTCAAAAGCAAACCAAAGTGCTTAAATCTGAATTGAATCTTCATACTGGTTATACGTTTCAGAATTATTTGTTGTGGAATTTTACGTTTCCAAAGACACCCGAAAATGCAAAGCTTTAACTGGATCTTATAGCAGCGATCGCTACAGACTCCTTTTCTTCTTGCCTTGCCTTTCTTCCTTAAATGCGGCACAGATAAATGTTTCTGAACTAAAGCTTTACCGTGCTTGGAGAATAATTATTCTTTTTCTTTTACCATGCTCTATCAAAACGAACCTTTCTTAGATAATTTTTCCTCTTTTGAATTACTGCAAAATACAAAAACTGCTTCGCAATTTTGAAGCCAAGATAATTCATTTCTCGTTTGCAGGGTTTCTTCCAAACAAAAATATCATTAGGTACAAGAAATCCTTTTCCCCTCTGATATTTATAGCTGAAACCACTAGGGTTACCATTCTAAATTAGCCATAAAGGTAACATTACTGGACAGAATTTTTTAATAAAGAAGAGACCTAACCAAAAATAATTCAAGAATAACAGATGTAAATGTGTGAGTTTTACTGAATGGCAGAGAGACTGAGTAATTTATTTAATAATTGAGGGAAACCAGAGATTAATAATAGAACCCATAGGACTAGATCATCAGAAAGAATAGACTTTCTTAAGCTTGGAAGAGAACTTGAAGTACGATTAGTCCATCCTCCCCCTCTTAGCGCTGGAATCCCTTGTCATGGTTTCTGGAAGCACATCATCTGACTTAGGCTAGAATACTGTCTGTAGCAGAGCTCTCACTACTTATCAAGAAGCTTCCATTTATCAGAAAGATATTTTACTTGTGCCTGACTCCTAATCACTGGATCCAGCTCTGCTTCTGGAGTCACAGAGGTTGGGAATAGCACATTTTCCTCAGAAAGTGTTTCAAAAATTAAAGACAATGAATGCGCTTTTCCCCAGAATAGAGCTGGAACATAGTAAGTGCTCAATAAATATTTATTCAACAAATGAAACCTCACTTTTTTCCTTTCCCCAGACTTATCTTTCTCTGTCTCATTATTCTTTTTAAGAACACTGTCAACCTCCCTGATACAGAGACATTAAACTTCCAGACACCAAGTGTCCCCTCTGGGAGCTGCTGATTTAATTTCCAAGTTCTAGTTGTCCCTGATCACAGTGCCTTGTACAACCATTCCCTTGGTTCAATTTCCTGGGTCATATTTATGGAATGGCCATGTACTTTGATTCTGTTTTCTTAATTCAGACCTACCTAGTCTGCTACAATAATAGCTATTTCACAGTCATATGTTTCATTTTTCAAATTAATTAATTAATTTTTAATTGAGGTAGCATTTGGTATCACCACCATAGTGCACCCACCACCTATTCATCCATAGTCCACCACCAGAGTCCACTGTGTTTCCTTCCCTCTTTGTTCTTCTCCCAAGTTATTTGTTTTAAAAGTTATATATCCATTAGTGTCAGAATAACCTAAGACGTAGTTTTGATCGTGACTTGTTATTTCAAAAACACTTCCATGTTTCTTCTTCTTGTTGGCTTCAAAATAAATTTCCAACTCCTTTGATGACATTTTGGGGTATTGATGCTCTACTGTAATCATCTAACTTATTTCCCCTTCCCCAAGCTCTCCAGTTCTTGGGGACTACTGGTTGGACTCTGGAGGTAGCCTGTAATCTACCTGGGTTGGTTTTATTATGATCCCACATTTCTGCCCTTTGTTGGCTTTGGATCAGATGACACTTCCTTTATGAAATCTTTTCTGATCCTATTTTAATAGGAACAAATCTCTTTCTTGTCTGATTTAAGTAGAATTTTTAGATTCTCTATTATAATTATAGCAATTTTTTCCTAACATAGTTACTTGTGTACATTTCTTAAATGTAAGACTATATCTTGTTAATATTGCACATGAGAACAGTATGCTCCTGCTAAACTAAATAATTTCTGTTTCACAACCCAAACTTCATAAAGCCCTTCTAACCTCAGACTCAAATTAAAAAAAAAAATCTACCTCATCTCTAAATTCTTTACTTAAAAGAAGAAAACTTGGTTTTTAAATTGAATTTTCAGGTCTGAATTTTTATCATTCTCATCCTCTTTTTTGCTTAATTATAATTTATCCTTGACTGGTTCTGGACCTTTTAAGAAGTTTGAAAAGTTTGTAGCAGATTAGGAATCGATTTTAAGGGATTCTGGTTGCGCAGCATTACCTGTATGACAAGTTGAAAACAAGATGCTGTTTGTCCTCACCCAGCCCTGAAGCTGGTAACAGTGGAGTTAGAGGTAAGTATCATTTACCCTTCTCCTAGGTAATTTTAAACTAAGAGTAGCTGGATAAGCTACAGAAAGACTGAGTAAACATGACAATAATGTTTTGGCTTGATAAAGTATATATGCTGTTTGTCCAGATCCTCAAATCCCATCTCACATCTGAAGGTGGACATCAGGACCAAGTACCTAGAAGTGGTACCACACACTGAAAATAGTTTTGAGAGAGAGAGAATATGAGAATGAATGGGAATTATCTCAAACAGACAAAGGATAGCTTAGAGAAAATCCGGGTTACTGATCACTGACAAAGCTTTATAGAGAGAGTTACTGAATTTTATTCTCTTAACTAGTCAATAATTCAATTTCTCATATGTTGGTAAAATTTGGGTTATAAATCATATGTAGGAGGGAATGAATTGGGAAAGAGGTGGGGTGGGGTAGGTGGTGAGGGAGAGAGGGAGGAAGAAGAAAGACCTTGAGTCATGTTGTTTGTGGTTCTGTTCAAGTATTTCCTTTAAAAGAACCCTGGTTCAGGTCTGAAAATCACTTTTGAATAGTATCTATTTCTTACTTCACTTGAAATAATTTCTTAGAGTCTTAAAATTCCCAAAGAATAACAACATATCATTAGGGAGGCACCTCTATTCAACTAGCTCTGCTCCACGTTCCTAAAGTGAGATAAGAGGAGGGAAAGAAGAGACTCAGAGTTATTCAGGGCTACTATGTCCTACGCACTGTGGTGTGGATTGTTATCCCCGTCTACAGATAAGAAAACTGAAACCAGGGGCTCTCTTTAGTACAGCTTTTAAAAAAAGAATTCTGGAGGTTCCACTTCCTGAAAGGCAATGTGAGGAGCCATGTAGACCCTGTCCCCAGTCAAGGAAACATAACTGGTAAAACCTGTATTTAAACAACAACCATTTAAGGTCTCTGGAAATTATTCTAAGAACATTGGAGGCTGAAGAAATATTCATTCAGGAAAGTCTACTAAACCCTGGTAGGGACAGAGGGAGTGTGTGGCACTTGAGTCACCTGTTCCCTCCCTCCTCTTCAGTCCCCACTTGAGCTTGAAAGAAACTCCACTCTGGGTGGTTATGCCCAAGAGGATGAGGATCTCTCTCCCCCAATTCCCTGCCCCACCTCCTCAACTCCCATCCAGGGGTTATGGTGTCTTATCAAAGGAAAAAGCCCATAGCATTTCCAACACCCTCTCACTAGAAGATGCAGAGGCTGAATTCCAGGTGAGTGTGGCTCAGAGGTCATGGCCAACTTTGTCCATCCATCCCTCAATCATAAAGTGGAGGCCCTATGCCAGTTGCAGTAGACTCAGAATACAAAGACCCTCATCATCCTTGGCCCAGCTTACTTAAGCCCAGAAGGGCAAGCTGAGATGAGACTAACATTGACTACCAGCCTTGCCAATGTCTAGAACAGTGATTCAAATATATTTGTCAAAGGGGTGAGTCAGACACTAAAAACAGAGCTCTAAAGCTCTACCCCAAAGAATTGACTTCATCTGAAATACAGTATGAAGATGTTCAAACTTAAGGGTATTATTAAAAACAATGGTGATTTTTGTGGTAAGCAACTAAATGGGGGCATTAGGACAAACTGAATGGCAGACAAGCTAGTTATAGAGAATCAGGGAAAGAGTGATTTAAGAAATGTCCTGCTAGGGTCAGAACAAACTTCAAGGAATGACCTCAAAAAATAATCCTGCCCAAATTTAATTGGCCAGTACTCTAGAGCAATTTGTATTTCAGAATTGTCAAGAACAAGTGTGCAATCAGCTGGCAGTTAGTGGAGCCTAATATCTGGGTGTGATACCAAGTGAGGCAGACAGTTTAACAGAAAGATTAGGGAAAGATACAAAGACAGCTCTGCTGAAATCATTGTTCTCCCAAGATGACTGTGCACTCGGGCAAGGCTGTACCCTCGAATGGAAAAATACCATATGATATATCCATATCAGGGAATATTATATGGTAATAGAGTAATATCCACTAGATGTTACAACATAGGTGAACCTTGAAAACATACAAAATGGGGCCTCCCTAGTGGCACAAGGGGTTAAGACGCAACCTATGAA